CTTACCAAGGCATTGTAAAGTGGTATTAACACTTCATGTGATCTTGATTCTATCCCTCTGTTAATGCAGCCTAGCACTGTGTTGGCCTTTTTGGCAGCTGCAGGACACTGCTGGCTCATATTTAGGTGATTGTCCACTAAGACTCTGAGGTCCCTCTCACAGTTACTACTATTGAGGCAGAAAATAGGTTTGTATGAGGATTATTGCATTGGTTATGTCACTGTTGGCTCTCCAGCTCTTTGCACGCTACTTTTTTCAGAGTTTTATGTTCCATTCTTCTGAGAGCATATTACAGAAGAAACAATAATTATAATTCTCAGTCTTAGGTTTACTGTCTAAAATAGAGGTCTCCAAACTTGGCAACTTTAAGACTTGTGGGTTTCAACTCCCAGAATTCCCCAGCCAGCATTCCCCTGGTCTAAAAGACACAATACCTAAGGGAAATGATTGGAGAAAAAGAAATGACGAAAGACCCCACCCTTGCCCCATTGATGATGGTTCACTCAGTGGTTCAGATAGGTGAAAATAGAGTCTCTTCTTAAAAACTTCCAGTGTTGGAGCATTCACTGCTTCTGGAGGTGAATGCTCCAACACTGGAAGTTTTTAAGAAGAGACTGGAGAGCCATTTGTCTGAAATGGTGTAGGGTTTCCTGCCTGAGCAGGGGGTTGGAGGTCATCGAGTCCAATTTTATTATTATTATTAACTTGCCCTGATATTTCTGTTCAGGGCAAGGTGGTCCCTCAAAAGACACACAAAGGGCCATATATATTCAGGAGATACTAAAAATAAATGTGTGTGTGTGTGTGTGTGTGTGTATACAGAAAGTTTTTTTTTCAGACAGACCAGTCTGATCCACTGACAAAGAGGGGAGGAGAGCTGGTGGCCTGGTGGTTAATACAACTGCCTAGCATGCAGGCTGCCCAGGTTCAAATTCCATAGAGGGTATGGCTAGCTAATGAGAGCAAAATAAGCTCGAAATAGCTATTCTAGTCTCCCATTTAACTCTTTAACTCTTTGTCAACAAAAAAGAAATTTGGATTTGTAGTGTATTGCAGTAGCGACTTTAGCCTGCTTAACGCCCCTAGTTTGGGGGGCTGCAAGGCAAAAGTGATTATAAGTAGAACTGCAGTATAGCAGTCAAAATACCAAGGTGCATTAATCAAGAAAAAACTTTCTCTGTGTGTGTGTATATATATATATATAAATTTATTTTTAGTATCTCCTGAATATTTTGCCCCAGAATGTATGCTAAGTTGCAAGAACTAGTCAAGATGGGGACAGTAATTAAAAATAGTATTAATCCTCCATCAGTAAGGAGCCTGATTTAAAATAAAACAATAATATATGATCCCATGAATTTAAATGACTGAATTACATTTGTATGTTATTGGTCATGCTATTATTAAATTATTTTGTGGATATTTCAATTTACTCTTTATACTTTTTATTAACTAATGCTGAAAAACCTGTGAAATATATTTATATTTTTATAGCCCATAAAGAACCTAGAACCTAAATCAGAAGATTCAAAAATCGAAGGGGAGAACAGCTGCAGATCAGAGAATTGCCTTTCAGAATCAAGAAACTCACCCAGCACCACCATGGCCAATGACAGCATTATAGATAGCCTTAAAATGCATGTCACGGTCATCAACTTAACCACATGGATTGTGCTTCTTAGTTGTCCATCTTTAATTTATTGGCTAGAAAATATCAGGTAATCATTCCAAATTTGCAGGTTTTATTTTAAAAAAATTGTTATGAGATGGCCCTGTAAGTTAATATATGTGCTATTAGAAGAGTTCATGAAATATTTGGTTGTGTATATGAAATCAGTCCAAATGCCTAATAATGTGAGAGGTAGTCACAGTACATTAGCAGGTAGAGAACTAGAGAAATAAATATTTAAAAGTTAAAAGATAACTTAGAACCACAAATGTTTTAAATGTTTAGCATACTAGGAATCTATCTTGAAATGAAAAATCCATTATAAGTATTTCTTCATTATCTTAAAATTGGCATTGTTTTTTTTCCCAGTTTCTGAAATGTGAGATAGTTCACAGTAACCCAATTTTTGATTGTTAAAACAGCTTTAATTGAGAGGAAAGGTTGCATTTGGGCCATCTAATGACATGGTATTGATTTCCCTATTTCTCTGCTTGTTTTATTTTCAACCATCTTTTTTAGCTCCTTTAGTGTATTTTGTTGTTGCTACTAGAAAAATGATGTTCCATGTGAATGATACAATAGTCCTTTGTGTTTTCTTTCTTTTTAAATTAGATACCATATCAGACTTGATCCTGATCCATGTAGACTTGTTGCTGTTATTCTGATAATTATTTTGAGTATACTCATGAATACAAGTACTACAAAACTTAAATCAAGGTACTTTAATTATCTTTGTTTTAAATTGCACTACGTTGAACACTCTTGTATCAAATTGTTTTCCCTTCTGATAGTACATTATTAGGATTTGGACCAAAGCAAAGAAGAATATTTTAGCTTTCAGAACTGCTTTAGATCCAACAAAAGCTCTCTGTAGTCAGAGGATGGGGATGGGATTTGTTTATTTTCATCTTATTCCAGACTTATTTTTTTCTGTTTCCTACACTAAAAATAAGCTTAATTTTTCAGATCATTTCAGATCATTTTGCAATTCTGCTAGCTGACAACTCTCATATAGTCATTATTACAGAAGTGAAAGAAACAGTATGAATTGCTCTCTTATAAACTGGTGAGGGAGGGAATGGAAATCTATATGGACTTTACACATTTTTTTCCTTTTAATATCAGCCAGGGGGTAGATGGTTCTCTGAGGTGATAAATTCCAGTTTCTTGGCTTAGCATATTCTAGGATGTTTTTCTGCAAAGTAATTATATCTTGAACATTACTCCATAGTATTGCTTCAATAATATCTGTTGTTTATTTGCTATGTCAGCCTTTCCAGCTTGATAACCCCATCCACCAATAAATTATACCTGTATCTCCAGTCAGCATAATCATGTTGGCTTGGGAATTGTGGAAGTTGAAATCAAATACCATGTGAGATTAGAAAAGACCAAGACTAACAAAAGTACTCACGCATCTCATTGCTTGAATAATTTATTTTATTCTCTTTTTTTTCTCTTCCTACAGTAAATTATTGAAGATTGCAGCATATTTTCCACTTCTTTTCTCTGTTGCTGCTGTAGTTTTTGCGCCTGTTTATTTATATCAAATGCCATACTTTGTAATAATTCCTCTTTTTTTACATTCATTATGCAGCATTGTGTAAAATCTTTAGCTGGCCAAAACAGTAATAGATGTGGAAGTATAGATAATATAGGAAAACCTAAGCCTCATCTTCTATCCATAGTAGAAAATGGAAAGGCTTTAGGTTTCCAAAGTGATATTTCATGATAAGAAAACAATATTTTTATTTACTAATTTTTAAAAGAAATAGTTGCATAAATGTGTTACTCAGTAAGCACTTCGTTCTTGACACTGAGGGAAAACATGGTTGCATCAGTTCCTTGGTTTTGAAGCAAATGGCTTTTACTTATTTATTTTAAAGTTGCAAGTTTACATGTACCGTATACTTCTGTGTTCTTACTTCAGTCAACAAGTGACTCTAAACAGACAGACAGAACAATTGAATTGCTGATAAAAATGATTATACGTTCTTACCCCATTATTGGCAACTGATATAATTTTGTTTTTCCTTTGGGTCTATACAATTTATAATACTAATGTGTCAAGATTGTTGGTGATAAATCCAAAGACATATCTGAGGTTGCAAATTTATGAGATAATTGAAAGCAGTACATAAAAGTGTACTCAATGTAATGTAATTTAGTAAGTACAGTATACAAGAAGATTGTATGCTGCCTGTTCTATTAAAATCTGTAGTTAGGGTAGGTGAATATTTCTATGCAGAGGAAAATCTGTCTTTATGGACAAACATATAGGAAATAATTTTGAATCACCATTCCCATATTTATTTTGGCAATATTACTGTTGGAATAAATAAGATATCAGTATGTATTGCGAAATCCACCCACAGTAGAAATGGAACGTTAATGGAGTATTTTCTTCATAGAAGCCATTTTATTCAAGGGCAGTGAAACCCTGCATTGTGTAAATGATCATTTGATCATTTCTCTAATACGTTCCTTTCTACATACGTCACTGGGCAATTCTTATAATTCCTAATAACTATGTTGGAAAGTCCAGGTTAAAGACAGACAATTCAGAAAAGTTCCCTAGAGATTTTAAAATGCATCCTAGAAGTATTTCATTAGATTAGAGTAACATTTTGCTAATGTTATTCAGCACCTCTTAGGTCCATCAGAAGTCATCTTAGTGTAGAGCTAGACACTTCTAGTTGATTAGAAAAATGTTTCCATATTATTTGGATTGATAAAACATAGACATCAAAGAAATCAATACTTATCTGTGCACTAAGAAGTTTCAAAAGAATGTATCTTTGGGCAGAACTATGTTAATATTATAACCATTTAAAAAGCAGCAAATATTTTGCTTCTTTAAATAAAATGTATGAGCATTATATCTAAAGATAAATTTTTGCTGCTTTTGCATATCACCATGAGCTTAAAAGTTGGCAATCACTGCATATCTTAGCACTTCTTTTACATAATGGCTCATTTCCTCTTCCAACTGCTACCTGGAAAGATAGGTTTCCTCTAAACCAAGTTATAATACATATTTTCCTTACTTACATCCACTATAATTCCTGCCTAAAGTGCCTTTGGTTAGTTATTTGTCTCTGTTTATCATTCTTTTTTCCTAATTTATTAAAAAATATTTATAGAATTGTTCTGTAATGTTAATAGTTTAGTAAATTATGCTATGTGTGAATCATTACATGTGCTATTGTTACCATCTTTACATGGAATGCTTCAAGGTCAAGCCAGTCTTGGTATCCAGACATACTTTTAATAAGATATTAAAACGTTCTCTTGAAAAAAGTCCAATATCTAATTTTCAGCTGGTTTTATGGCAGTAAACTGAGCTACCGGTATACTCTGTGTCTTGCAGTGAGTCTTTTTTACTGCTATACTGGGCTTTTTTGCCAACAGCTGGCAGAGAACAAAAAGTAGTGCAATCTATTCTCAGACCTCATTCAATGAAGGCTGACCTTGGAAAGCATTTCTATACATCTTATAGCTGTATGCTAAATAGAATTTTGGCAGTGATCTTTTGTCTCTTGTCAGGGCCACAGCAAGGGAAATGGCACTTGTCAAATTATTCTTTCTCAAGCAGAAGCTAAGGTCACAAAAGTTCTCTTCAAATTCATGCATTGGCATCTCCTGGGAAGCTTGTCCTTCAGATGCCAATGAAAACTTGAATTTGTTAAAGGTCATAATGGGTCTTAGTAAAGGCTCTAACTATATAACTTTTATCTATTTTGCAGTGCATATGGTGTGGGTATGTGTGTGTGTCATGGTAGCTAATATTTATTAACGTGGTGGTAGCTTATTGCATACTAGCTCATAATCTATGGCTATTCAGACTCAAACCATTAGAAGTTTAGGAGCTATCCAATACACTTTAGAATCTGTAAGACACCTCTGGACAATCTATTACAGATTTATGTATTACTAGAAAATCAAAGCTATTGACTGTGGTCTGATACCTGTATTTGAGAAGCGGGTGAATTGAGTAATCTCTAATCATATTCTTAATGAATGGATGCTATTTTACATGCTATGTGAATTGTGCATACTTAGGATGTATATAGTACTTTTATTATCCTTTTTACATATTTTTGTACCTGCCGATAGATTAATAATGTATAGTTTTAGATTGTATATTGAGAGTAGTTTTACACTTTTATCTGAAATGTTTGGCTTTTTTCCTATTTTGGATCCATGCTTCTTTTTGCTTTTAATTTGGATTTACAGTGTCCATTGAAAACAAATAAGAAGCAGTGCAATTGTAGCCAGGCTACTTACAAGAAATTAAAATTAAAACATTACTACTTTTTAATAGAATCCAGGCAGTCTCCAAGAATCAACAAGAGCAGCTATATTAAATTCTCACAGCTGAATTAGACATCATCATTATTATTATTATTATTATTATTATTATTATTAGTAGTAGTAGTAGTAGTAGTAGTAGTAATAGTAGTAGTAATATATGGCATTGTTACATTAGCCAGGAGAATACAGTGCTAATGCAGAGTAGTAATTTGGCTGCCAATTTACTAGCTCTGTTGTGGTGCACACTCACACACTGCCCAAGGTGCGCCACAGGAGGGTGAGCTAGGTTTGCACTAGAAAGAAAGATGAACAGCTCTTCCTGCAGCAGCACCCAAGGCCCCCTCCCCCTCTACTGGAGCTACTTTGCAAATGGGTGTCACAACTGGGAAGGTTCAGGCACAGCAGGAATCTGCCGCCTGCATGACGTACCAGCTCATCTCCCCACCGAAGTGGTACCTGTTTATCTACTTACATAGAACATGTTTTCAAACTGCTGGGTGGGCAGAAGCTGAGGCAAGTGACGGGAGCTCACTCCGCCATGCAATGCTAGGGCTCAAACCACTGGAGCAGAGACCATCTCCAGTTTCATTAAACCACTGAGCCACTGGGCCTCAGTTAGCTTTTGAGAAAATGCTTCTTCTTAAAGATTCAAATTGGCTTCTGTATATCTTTAGGATCAGAAACCAATTTGGAGATAAGAACTGCCTAAGAATAAAACTGCAAGTGTTAACTTTTTATTTTGAATTCTTACATGTGCAATTAAACAATAATGAGAATTGTTGGTGAAACTAATAAGCAAAGAGGAGGGACCATATTCAAAATCTTCGCACCTAGGTCCATGTGATTAAGGAATGGCCTTTTTTTTTGGTTCTGGTTCCTGAACAGCAACTTTCTCAGGCAACTGCTATATTAAAAACAGGAGAAACTGAGCAGAGTTTTGAAAATTTCAGAGGGGCCTGGAGGTTGTAGGTGAAAGGAGGGCATGTTCCAATCCTTCAGCGTCTGCAGGGTTGTTCTTGGAATTATGCATTAAGCATGGATATAGTGGGCAACTTTGATTGTTGAACCTGCTAGGTTTTTTAATATTGCTTAGCCAGTGGGCTACACATGCCTCAAACATTTATTTAAAAATACCTCTGTTCAGAAATGTTAAATGTATCCTTAAGCTTTAGATCACCATTTCTGATCTCTAGTGCCTCTAAACAAATGTGTATCTGCCAAAAATAATACCTAGTGAAAAAAATAATTTGCAGTAAAGGATGACCTGTTTGCACACTTGCATCTCAGACTCATCTTGTGTGATATGGTTGATAGAATTAATCATTTCATAACTCATAGGTCTTAATATCTGCATGGGCGCTGCACTGTTCATGCAATAAAGTATGTTTCTGTTCACTGCAATATATTCTGAACAATATGAAATATTTTAGTCTCTAAGTAGCCTACATTTTAGAATTAATTTGTAACCTGAAAGATCCTTATTCAGTTGCAATATTAATCTTTTGCTTCCTTTTTCTAGAAAATAAGATAATGTAGCTAGATCAACATTAATATTAACTATTTTAGAAATACATGAAATTTGTTAAAAGTATTTGTAATTGTTAATATATTTCTGAATATTTATGCCAAGGAAGTATGATTGAACAACTTACCCGTACTTTGGAAAGGGTGAAGAATAAATGTTTAGTTCATTTTGATAGATTTTTGAAACTTGATGCTAATCTGAGTGATAAATATTTAAGGTGTGAAACATACTTGAAATATTTTCATTCATTAAAAAAAGCATAGTTTGATTATTCAGTAGTGGCATTTTAGTGAACCAACTTGCAAAACATTATAGTTAAATTCACAGTTCTAGTGCTTTCCATCTTCTCATGAATAATTGTTCTCACAAAAGCATATGCTGTAATATTTTCATAATGATTGCTATTTGACAGTCCAGCAGTATGAATCCTTTTCCAAAGTACTGACAACTAAACTTGAATATCTAAATATGCTTCCTGAATTTTAATAATAGCTTTCTTTCCTGTGCATGACATGTTGCTTTTAAAGTCTAAAAAAAGGTGTAGACTATGATATTTCAAGGGATGGAGGGAAGTCAAAATTGTGACAGGAATATACTGTATGTGGAAGCCCTGGGATGCAACTAAAATAGATCTGTGACTTTTGTCTAAAATGTTGTTTGTATTTTAGTTTCTAAAATACAGTCTATAGGTCAGTGATGGCAAACCTTTTAGAGACCGAGTGCCCAAACCCCGCCCCTGCCTCCCCGCCCACCCCCGCTCTATGTCCC